CTTAGAAAACAACTCCACAGTTCATTCTTTAGCCGAACTCAAATATTCCCGTGTAATCATCTTGCTTGTTGACCTTGATGGAACCAGTGATGCACGTGATTGCCATATGACAATTGATTATGACGTAAATAAAGCTTGAACCTTCCAACACGTCCGACAAACAGCGAAGCACGAGGCAGAATGTTTTGCGCAACGAAATTGTGACGTCATTCAAAATGGCGCCGAAAAGGTGAACCATGGAACGAAGAAACACGGGTCAGCTTTCGCTTGCGTGCACAGGGAACCTACGCGATAACAGGCGACCCAGTAGATTAGGAAGCGTTCTTCCTTCGTCGAACGCAACAAGGTGACTGCCGTAAAGAACAATTTTGTTATATTAATGGAAGCATTTGGTAATTGTACAGACTATTCATTGCCAGTAAGCGCATGCACTTTCAGAGGACCATTTTTTAATTTGTGTGATCTACCTCTACACTACAAATTTAGTAGTTTATTATGATTATTTAGTAAGCTTTGATGAGTTTTCAATTTTTCTTGTAGTACCATATTATGTAGTATTTCAATGAATGTGTTAATGTTGTTGTAAATGGGGTGGTAACGTGATCAAGTTCTTTGGATAAGTGTTGAGTGTTTGCTTTCGCTCGGTTGATTCTTGGGTTAGCGGCACTTCAGAGTTAGCAACAGGACTCAACTTGTGTAGAAACAAGCTCTAGTCATTGCCTTGACTCATGACTGGGTCAAGGACTCAAGGAGGTCTCAGCTGTGATAGACTACTAACTATGTTTATTTGGTAAATCACTGTGCTTATATACATGATGGAAGCAATTATACAAGATTAGATAAGCTATTACAAGAGGATATACGTGGTTTCCTTTCTGGTAAATACCCTAAGTGTAATGCATTGTTACACCCTATTTAGCTATGCAAATCCTGTGCTGCTAGATCCGAGAAATCAACTCATCCTACACAAAGTCCTGTCAGTTAAGGGGTGCGCACTAGCTTACACAGCAATAATCATATTTTCGGACTGTAATAATTTCTATTTATCAACTTAGAACTAACATGTCATGTTTAGGTGGACTAAGTGTCACTTTTACTTCAACTTTACTACAGTGTCACTGCACTTGTCAGTGTCCATAATGACATTTTGAAAGCTGACAACTATTCTGTATTTACTGTAAAGGGCTTGGTGCAAAAATGGCACCTAGATATTGAACTGATTTTCCAGTGTGTGCAAGATCCTGCAATAGTAACCAAATCTGGGTCTGTGACTTTTTTGGCAGTGAGAAAACTTACTGGTAAAAAGTTTCCCAATAATTTTCTCTTAATTTTACCAGAATCACATGTGCAAAAAACGGCCACCTTTCTTGTGGTTTCTTTTGTTGCGTTACAATGTCTTGTATAACAAAACAACCTGTTTCACCAAACAGTGAAAGCTGCTAGCTGATTTCTTATTTTGCATCTGCTATGCATTTTCTCACTGGAAGCAAAGTTAGTCATTCCCAGATCTCCATGTCGTTATCATCAAGTTATACATTCCTTTCGTTGCATTAAGCTAATTAATGAATATCTTGCTGCAGTATCCCCTCCCATCCCCCCTAGTTTCAATATTGTAGAGTACATGCAGCTTTCTGAAGTGAAGCCTTACTCGAGCTTAAGATCAGGGTTTGCAAATAAGCCAAATTTAGCGTATTTTAAGTCAAAATTTCTAAAATGACTCCACTGAGGTTACGGAGGGAGTCACTTTGACTTCAGAAATTTTCAGTTCCAAAATAGTTTTTTCCTTGCCTTTTTCAAAACAAATACAATGTACATTAACTGCAAACATTGTAAACCTGATTTAAACCACCTAAATTGAAGAATTATCCATGTGTGTACACGTAGAGGCTAAATTACAATAAAGATCACTCGAACGTTGATCATCATCATGGATTTGAGCCTTTCAAGATCAGCAGACTCTCACATGTGGCCATAGCTACTTCATGTTTCCATCATGATAGCATGTGCCAGAACCATGCGCTGAAATGGCACCCTCATCGAAAAGACCGAGTGAAGAATCATAGAGAACTTGACAAGGTTATCCAAGGCTGTCAAAGGTTTTATTTTAACTCTTGTTTAAGGAATATTACATTGCTTTGTTTATTGTGTCACTTGTCTCCAAATATTCCAAAAATGACTCAATAATGGAGTATGTTTGTTCTATTTCCTATATTTATATCTTTCTAAAAATAGTGTTTCAATAATAAAAAAGCGATGAAAAAAAAACTTGAGAAAACCTTGACCTGTTTCGGTGTGCAATGGGTCTGACTACGTGGTTCATGAAGTCTCTAATAGCACACTTAATGGTTCTCGTTTTTAAAATTAAAACTGTCATTAGTTCTTAGCATTTCAATCTTGACATGTCACATACTTTTTTAATACAATTTTTTAAGAGAAAAAATAAAAAAGATGAAGGTTAGCAAAGTCCTTCAAAAGAAAAAGAAAAGCGCCACCAAGTATCAAACGAGAATCTCAACTTTAACTAAACTGAAAATTTTATTGCCTGACTGTCTTTTTACTAACAGTCTGACTCATTTACTGACTGAATGATTGATTTACTTACGTGTTTTGATAGACTGATGTACTGATTGAATGATTTATTTACTGACAGGCTGAATGAGTTGTTACTTGACTGATTTTTGTTACTTTTCAGGACCTCAGAACAAAGGCATGGATTGTACCCTCTGGCCATCTCTATATTACTGAACATGTATGTGGGAGAGTGTCCTGGGTGATCAACTGAACAGAGCTAGCAAAGCACCAAAAGCTGGTGTTGGGGAATGCTAGGGAGCTGACTGCTTTGAAATAAAGCCATATTGTACCTAACATCTGCTCTCATTGGTGTGGATTAAAGACGTCTCAGTGATCCATGCCAATCTTCTACTTGCTTCCGTACCATGGGGGAATGCAGGGGATGTCTTCCTTGTCTGGGGCACATGGAAATCTCACAAGTTTAACAGTATGTGACCATCCAGATTCCTTCGTGACAGATGACAATGGCCATACTTTTCTTCATTTCCAATACATAGAGGACACAGGAACAGATATACACAGGCATACATCACCACTCTGCTTGGATCTCTGCAGTGCTGGACTGATGCCGAAGTTGCTGGTGGTAAGGCACTATTGCTTAAGTATGTATCTCCCTTTTTAGGGTTGGATGCTGGCGTCTGATATGGATGGTCTCCTTGTACAGTGTTCAGTTTAGAAATTAGTCATATGTCCCACATGGCATTTTAAATTGGGTCATTTTTGTAAATGGTCATGATTTGTACCTGATATTTGGCATAAATACCACTCGTGATAATTATTTCAAAATTGTCTCAAATTTCACTCGCCTATGGGCTCGTGAAATTACGTATAACAATTTTGAAATATCACTCATGGTATTTATGCCAAACATCACTACAAATTGTGCCGTTACCTATACAAAATGGTTGAAATTGATACCCTATTTCAGACCAAAACAACTAAAAAACCATACCCCGGGACTCCACCCCCCCGGGGCGACAAATGTGTTGCAGATTATGAGTCTTGCTGCTTACGCAAGCGAGACTAATGATATAAGCAAGTCACTACGGCAACCTATAGTACGGGAGTTGTGGATGCACACTCCTGGGGAGAGTATGTCACCGTAGCGTGCCAAATCGGTGACTATGGGGTTTCTCCCTCATTTGCTTTCACTGTTAGTAAAACAAAGGGAAGACATAATAGAGGTTGCAGTTTGCTAGTCTCTTATGATTACAGTGGAACCACGAACCTCCATTATGATAAAGTCTTCAGTATAAGGAACAACAATATTGTTTTTGCCCCAGTTATAGTCAAATGGAAAAGAACCGTGACATGACAAAACCTCGTTGAAGTGAATAGATTTTGTCAGTGCCTTGGCCCTTTGTCATATGTGAAGGAAAACAGCCCAAAGAAAATGTAATGCGTTAAGTAACAAACTTTAGCTCATCAATGATTTTTGTGGTCAGTCACTTTTTAACTGCTAAGGTGTCCCCTGAATGAAGGTTCAACCCAGGTTTCGGGACCCAGAAAAAGTGTTCCTTTCTCCTGAAAAGAGGTGTCCCTTCAACAGAGGTAACAAATACAAAGATTATGTGAACATTAATTTTCCGGGAGCAAATTTTGTGTCTCCTTTATGGAGGTGTCCCTTAAATAGAAGTGGCCCAAAGGAGAAGTTCCACTGTACTTTCAACTTGATAAATGTGGGAATCTTACTTCCACAAAAGGCCAACTTTCTTGAGTTCATAAGCAGAGCTGTAGTTCGTTTTTATACTTGATAGCATGTAGATCACAATCATAGTTCATGTCTTCTTTTGAAAAGGCACTTATTTCTTGAAAGAAGGAACAGACTAACAAAAATTATTTTGTTTTTTGGGCAGCGAGAAAGAAAGACTTCATAAAAGGCCAAATTTCTTTGGCGACAAGCAGAGCTGTAGTTCACCCTTGCTCTTGAAAGCATGTTTATCACAATAATAGTTTGTGTCTCTTTTGAAAAGGCACTTACTTCTTGAAGAAGGAACAGACTAACAATGATTATTTTGTTTTTGGGCAGCGAGAAAAAAAGACTGTACCTACAGACCCCTGTGCCCAATGTCACAAAAGTCATCAAAGAGGCAAGTGTAGTCATCAATAGATAAACCAACATTCATTATGACTCAGGCTTTGAGACAATTCAACCCCAACATGAAGGGAGTTATAATCTCTTCTTTTCTCTGGTGTGTAGTTGGAAGAGTAGATTGCATTGCTGAAACGCCAAAACCAGGTGGGGCTGGCAGTGAGTGAGACTGAGTACCAATTTTCCTTCAAAACAAATAATTATGGCGGATAATGCAGACATCGAAGGACGATGAATGTTTACTCGGTTTTAAGTTTTTCCATGTCCAAACATCAAGGAAAGGTTTTCATGAGGGTTAGACATAGTACTTTGTTCAGTTACCTTCCAGGTACATACTTCTGATGCAATTGACTGATGATATGTCAGATGCATGTGTGCCGTTGAGGGTTGTGTTTTGAATGTCTTTGATTGTCACTTGCATTTGTCTTTATTGCACTTGTGTATTGCAACAGTCACTTTGCTGTAAGTGCCATGCTGTAAATTTTAACAAAATACCCACGTTGATTACTGTTGGACAATTTGGGCTGCGTTGTTTCCGCCATTGCTGTTGGCAATTTACTCTGTTTGTTTTTTACATTGTGGATTGCTGTAACCTTGCAAGATTAGCACGTTGGATTCTGTTTAAAGACATTAAGTGGGTTGAGACCATTGTTTGACAGAAACTAGTACTGACTTCAACCTCAGAAATGTCAATGTCTTTAGACAGTGCTTGTCTTTCATGGTTACAGTGTCATACGAGTGTGATTCCACTAATGATTGTATGCTATATTTGTCAATCATTTCAAAAATGTAGTCTCAACGTCTTATTGTCTCATTTTATGACAATACGTGACGTTATGTCCTTTCTATGACTACACCTGTGTTGCCTAATGTTACAGGCAAGCAGTGTGCATCATTAGTGGGACCATACTTGTTCATCTTCGTTGACATAATTATCACATGCTGATGTTCACCCCACAAACTCAGTGACAACTCATGTTCCTTACTAGTCGCACCATGGCGGGTTGGTCAGCTGAAGATGCCACCACCTTTTGGGACCGGTGAGGTATGGACACTGTCATGCACTATCCCGTTAGCCAGCAATGTCATGATCAGTTAGACGAGAAACAAGAACTTTGTGAAGACACCAACAAGATCAATCGTCAGACCTTCATGGGCCAACGTGACCTCAGCGATGCCATGGCAGAGTCTATCATCCATACGGACGAAGCGCGCAATATGCAATTCTGGTGTCGATACCAAAGCTGGACGTACTGTCCTAAATGTCAGAAATTGGAAACTCGAAAACTCCAGCCAGCCTTTAGAAGGAAGACTCCTTCGCCACTACACAACGCCTTTAAATGTGGCAATTCGATTTACATAGCACCCAACATAGAGGATGTGCCACTGATTCTACGCAATCGGACTAAGGCAGAGGTCCGCATGCTATGTTCCTTGGCGATCCATTGTGGGGAATACAAATGCCACTTCAACGGCTATCGCCAGCAAACAGGTCCCTTCAGGGTCAGTTGGTCTAAGCAAATCGTCACGGAGAAAATTGACATTTTAGACGACCCTGCTTGCCGCCATACATTACTCCAAGTCTACCAGTTTCTCATGCAGAAGGAAGATAGCTCCTATGCCAAGTTTGTACACATGCATAATTATCAGTGGTTATCGTCGTCCCTTCTTTATGAAATCTTCTCCACTTGCGATTTCCATGGCATAGAGTGTGCTCTGTGGCCATCTTTATACCACACCACAGCCATGGGCAAAAGAATGCTGGAGGGACAAACCAAGTGTCAAAATATCTTACATGCGCAAAGTGCTCTCTCCTGTGCTGGAGTACACGTTCAGCTTTGAACAGCTGTAGCACCAGTATGACAGGTGGCTGTTCAAAATGATAACCGGCGCTGTCCATTCTTCAAAAGCATCTGGGTGCTCCCCTAACAGAAGTCTGGGGAACAAATCATTCTCGCGCACCTACTGGCAGCACCAAAAATTATTTGTCTCTCATCGTCGAGTCAGGCAGTTTGGTTATCCATCCTTTTTCATTACCATTAGCCTCTATGAATGGACTTTACCCTTCCCATCATTCCTTGAAGACCTGCACCATCAGTATGGTAAAGATGTTACAGACTTGCCCATTCTGGAAACCATTCTCATTGCCCATGTCCTCGAGCAGATCGCAAGGGGATACCTTACCGGGAGAAATTGCAACAGGTGGAATACCCACGTCTTTGCAAATGCCACACATCCCAAGACAGGCAACCTGAAGACCTACTTCCCCGAGACTAACTAGGACGACCAGCCACTCCTTGAATGACTTTGCAGCCACAACACCTCCCTGACCAAACCAAAGGCATACGGTCAAGACAAATACCTTGTTGGCGTCAAGTATGTGTCAGTATTCAATCCCATGTTCTTCTACCAGCATCTCACAATGAACCATCCTCATTGTTCTCCTTCTGAATTGAGACATCCTGAAGAAGAGAGCATGCCACCCACCATAAGTTCTTCGCACAAGCCATTGCCCTCCAGACACCTGGTGAACTGGCGACACCATCACAGATCAATTTGAACGTGAAAGGCACAAAGAATTTTTCATCAACACTATCATTGCCTACATCATGTCCCTGCACGACATCCTCTACGTGTGGAGGATCCGCGTGGTAAATGGTGAAGTAGGCAACTTATCATCAGTTTCCATGGAGAACTTATACCCTCTCTCCCCACTCCAAAGGGCAATCTTAAACGACATCACTACTGCCTGACATCCACACAGCAGACCCAGGAACAATCCTCTGAAGAAGATACCCTGGAACCCTCCAATTGGCGCAAATACCTGGGGAAACTTGGTACCTGTGAATCTCAAGTGCTGATTCGTGCCATTCACTCTGCAATCGAAAAGGAAATGTTCCGTTCTAGTGGCTGCTCAAGTGGCTCTGCTGGCTCAAGGGTACCATAAGATCTTCCTCTGCGATATCACGACGGACACCTTGCACAGCACCTTTAACATCCCGGTGGACGGCCCATACAACAATGACATCGACTACACCATCAAGAAGTATGATCTCGTGGTAGTTGATGAAGCATCCATGGTCTCACCACCTACTTTTGGTGTGATATCCTCCACCTTCAACTGCCTCAACCTCCGTCCCATCGTGGTCTTCGTCTGAGAAAAACATCAGCAGCAACCGTTGCAGACCATTGACGGTTGCATATTCACCACTACTTCAATATTATTATAGATGACACCAACTTTCATTCAGAAAACTCCCGCTAGCATTGTCTCTATCAGTTGTTCCACATAGTTGCCCTGCAGTATGCTAAGTTTCTGGACATCATACGTTTCATGCAGCTCACACAAGAACAACTGGATGAAATGTAGGCTGACATTGTGCTATGTCTGGAAAGGCCTCTCACGGATCGGCAAACATGGGATGCATTCGACCTACATCCAGCTTCTACTGTGATGACCGTCTTTAGACATGGGGCACAGCACGTCAACAACATTGTTGTCAAGCATCTTTTTGAATGGCAGCAACCACTCACAGAACACCCTGACTGCGAGAACACCTTCCCCTACTGACAAATGCACGTCATCTTTACTGAAAATCGTCCTCCGTGGTAAACGGCCAAGAAGCCTCCATCGTCTTGTCCCAAAACAATACTATCATCTTGAAACTGCCCGAGGGACAGAGGGTCTTCGTCTATCCTGTGATGCATCTCATCAACAATAGGTGTGTCACCTATTATCCATTCACTCCTGTCTACGCGCAGACCATAACCAAATTGCAAGGGCAAAACATAAAACATCTTATTATATGGTTGCACAGCCCCCTCGTACCCCCCGGGACAGCATATGTGTAGGGTTACTGCACACATTTTAGTGATTAATAGGGTTAAGCACTTATTTAGGAACACAGCATGCATCTTGGACAATAGCTAAAGTGCTCTTTGTGGGAATTAGGTTTATTGACAGTTCTTTCTCAAAGACATTTGGAAATTGCACTGGATAGACCACTTAGTTTGTAGTTAACATTACTCATTGCAGTAAGCATTTATTCAAGGTAATCTGTGGACACCAGGAATTTTCACAAATACAACTAGTTTTTAGTCATTTATTTTTTGGTGAATTTTGCATAGTAATTATATTTCATTACATTACTGTTCTGCAGGCTTTCTGCTTGCATTAGAAAATTTTATTTATGTACTAAAGTCCAGCTGAATGTTTGTTGCTGTACATTTATTTAACCTGTTTGTTGAAATATAAGTTTTCAGCCTTCCAAACTTGGTCATGATTTTGGCGTAGTCATTTTCAACTTCAGTTATTTTGTCAGTTAAAACATTATGATGAAGTAGTGAAATTTTGTCCACTGGATCAATTTTAATTGACACATATTCATCAACATGAAATTTTGGACCTCTTTTTCTACTTTCTTTCATTTTGCCGTTATAGTTCAACTGTCTCTCATTTATATCTGTTTTGAGTTTCTTCCTCTGAGTGTCATTCTCGTCATGTTTCCTTTTATTTGGCTTTGGAAAATCTGTGACTGGAGTACTTTCATTGCCCGGTTTTTCGACATCTGCACTTACGTGCACTTCCTTTCTTGGCAGAATTCCAAAAACTGCTTCATATGGAGACTTGCCTGTTGCACTGTGTACAACAATATTCTTCTTGTAGGCTGCTTCACTTAATATTTTACACCAGTTTACCTCTTCATCGTTTTTCTCTGTAATAATATTTTTCATGGTTTCTTTGACTGTGCGGTTATTGCGCTCTACAGGGCCCTGGGTTGTAGGGGTTCTTGGGGCTCTGTGTACTTGCTTTATCTTGTACGCTTTGCAGAATTCAGCCATCTTCTCGCTCTTAAATTCTCTTCCATTGTCTGAATGGAGAATTGTTGGAAAACCAAACAGATAAAACTGCTTTTCTAGAGCCTCTACCACCTCTTCAGTTTCCTTTGAATGCAAAGGATAAAGCCATGTGAATTTGCTAGAGTGATCTGTAATGTGAAAAACCCATTTGTGTGTGGCATTACATGTGCATGGTAACTTTCGGAAGTCAATGAGATCAATTTCCACGTGTTTCAAAAATCTATCTTCCATTAAGGGTTTTATTACCGTTTTTTTCACGTGGTTGGTGACACTACAGTGCTGTTGATGGAATTTACAGAGGGAAACAAAAAGTGTTATTACTTCTTGTGAAATTTCCACATATGACTCGCGTATGTAATGTTCAGTTTTGTCTTTTCCCCTATGCGCCATGGCAGAGTGAGCTTCACATAATGTCTTGAAAATATCATACTTTGGAATAACGAACTTTCCATCTGGATCAGCAATTTTTCCATGCTGTAGGGTCCAATTTTTACACTTTATTGTTGCCACCTCGCTTATTGAAAGCCCTTCAATGTCTCTGGAATTCTCTGTAGTAAATCAAGCTTTTGCTTTAACATAGAACTCGTCGCTTAGATATACTGTTAAATTACTTGCTTTTCCCTGTCTGGATGATTTCATTGACTCAAGTTTTTCGTAGAAGAGTTCTTCAGCTACGCAACTATCCATTTTCACCACCATTTGAACAAAACTCTCTATGTTTTTCTAGTACTGAACCAACCAAAGTTCACGTGTACGTGTTGATCTGTCATGCGTATGTGTGAATAAATTATAATTTTTGGCCATGGTGAGTCTGGGACCAATAAATTATAAGGTTGAGAATTATAGGGTGAATTTCAACGATTGCTCGCATGGTCAAGTGGATAAGGAAGAGTACTACATGAAAATCTCACGGCTACATATAGTGTGCATTAGTGTCTCGCATTGAACAGAGTTTCACCAAAATCGCAAAGGCCCAATGCGAGAAATTCAGGGGTTTGCAAATTTAGGTCATAATTTATGTGAAAATGATAAGCCAACTTTACACGATTATATCTAATAAACTATGAGATTTATCCCTTTATTTTGGGGATCTTTATAACAGATGGGTCCTTGCAAGTCAGCAAAAAGCTTTAGGGCCTTGTAAATGCGTACAATTTTGAGCAAAAAACTGAAAATAATTCCAAGGTAACATCTTTTTTATATGTTTGTATTTGCTCAAATATGCCGTCTATATTTGTA